AGTCATCTGGTTACTTAGTCATTCCTTTTAAATTAAAGAAAACAATGTTAAGGATTTTTTCTTTTTTTAAAGAAATATTTTTGCAAATGACAGTTTCACCCCTTCTTTTTTTCATTGCCTACATGGGAAAACTAGCACATTTGTTTAAGGATAAACTGGGAAGTCTGTGGTTTCCAGCATGCACATTTTGAATAATATTTATACAGACTATTATTTAATGGGCCATATAAATATTTATCATATGTTGTAGCCCTTTGATCATAAATGCTTGTTTGAAAAGCCATTCTGTCCCTGCTGTGATTTGCAAAGAAAGAGGCCATTGCTGCTTTAGTGCTTGGAGGGAATTTTGGCTTCTCGTCCTGTCTTAGCAGTTATAGTCATGGACTAACATGGTCAAGCTGGACATGTCTTTTTAATTTTATTTTTTTTTTTCTCTCTCCCTCTCTTTCCGTTTGCACATTCAAATAATAAGTTGTAAATATGAGGCCCTAATTATGTAATGGATAGGCAAAGCTGTATTGAAGTTTTGAAGGCCTTTTACTTCAGGGGCATAGAAGGTAGTGGTATTACCACCACTGCCTTCCACTACTTGGGAAGTCCATAAACGTGCATCATCCCTGCATCAACTATTTTGGTGTCTTATTAGGAATACTGTCCTCAAGGAATTGGCCTGTCTGTCTGGACCTTTAGGACTTTTTATTTCAATTGTTTTTCTGGATTGCTGTTTTCATCATGATTGTATCGACTGCAGAAGATGTATGCTAAGAATCCAGTAGATACAAAATCCAAACCAAAGTTTTATTCGCACAAAGTTTTTGCACATGTCAAGGAATGTTGGTGTCTGGATTGCAAAGCAAGAAGTTTGTGCTGGGACCTTCTCCTACCTCTGAACTCCATTAAAGAGTTTCTTCATTTCTGATTTGGAGCTTCCTCTTGTACCAAAGGAATCTTCTGTAAGCAAAACTGAATTACAACATTCCTCTTTAAATTCTTATTAAAGTACTTTGGCTAAATATTTTCTATCGACCTCACTGCTGAGTTCTTAGGCTCTGAAGAAATACCTTTAGGCGGAGTCCCTAATTGGTGACACTTGTGACCTAGAGATGACAGTGCTTTTTGTGGATCCGGTTGACAGGTGGGTGGCATACCAAGTGATTGGTATTCCAGAAAAACCCTTGGCATCAAATCATGTTTTGCAAGATCAGATCAGATCCTATTGCAGAGATGCTATACTTTGAACAGCCTTGGTAACTTAGTGCTTGCTGTGCTTGAAAAAAAGGATTAATATTTACTTTTAACCTTTTTTCGTAAGGTATTGAAGTATTGCTTTGCAAATCTGGGTGAGCATTACTCAGAGAAAGACCAGTTAAAATATGTTTGTGATTCTTGGTTTTGGACTCTGTTACTTAACTCTCACTTATGTCCACTGATTTACAGAAATAAAAAAATGGATATGCATAGACTGATATGTACTGTTTGAGCATATAAACAAACTCCAATTCCTGCACAGTCACTCGCACATGCACATCCTGGTTGCTTAGTAAGGAAAAAAAGGAAAGTAAACATTACATGGGCTGATTGGGTTCCAGGTTTCAAATGTTTGTGGGAAGAATCCAATGCAAAGCCATAATTTTAAGTGCTGAGTAGGAGGTACTATGAGCTTAATTCTCTAACATCTGTTAAGCTTGTTCTCTAAGTAGCTAAAGCACATTAATGAGCTAAAATCAAGGCTGCCATACAAGGAAGAGAAATAAAAATTTAGACTAATATTGTGTATGTGTGTGTTTGTGAGAAGGAGGCAGGATGTAAAATGCTCCTTTTGTTATTTGTATTTTGTGAAAAGCAAGTAAGAAAGATTTGCCTATGTTAAAAAAAAAAATCTTTGCAGCTTGTGGTTTATTCTCCTTTTTTTATGAGTCAGCAGCTAAAGGCAGTGCCGAAATAGGGAAAAGCAGGGAAATACATGAGATAGTATCAGGAACAGTCTTATGCAATTTCTTTATAGTAAAATTTCTTGCAAGTAGCTAGCAGCATCTGCAGCCAGCCTTTTAAGCTTTGAGGAGATGGAGTGCAAAATTAAAAAGTGAACATCATCTGTTTGAAAAGAATGTCTTGAAACTGCTTTTACAGCCAAGGGCTAAGAGGAAGATGCAGAGTGCTGTAAGTATCCCCAGCTGACAGATGCAGTATTAATCACTGATATCAGGAGAATTGTCCTCTCTCTGACAGAGGCATTAGCTTTTGTTAGTCTGACCAGGTCATAGAGCCAGGGCCAAGAAAATAAAGCGAGCTTTCTTGCCAATATTCCTAGGTGTTAGACTCATGGCACAGCGTTATTTTTAGCTGATGGCTCATCGCTTGAACAGATGACCTTGCTTAACAAGATTAGTGTGTATTGCACCTAATCTACCGGGCAGAATCAGTATGCTGAAAGAGAGCAGCTAGTGTTTCCATCAGTACCACAATATGCTTTATAGCTTTGATTTTTTTCTAGTTTCTGATATGGCTAGAAGCTAATGATCTGTACAGCTTCGTCTGGTGACCCTGCCATGGGGCATGCAGAATGCAGTGTGATAACCGCTTCCGCTTGTGCCAGGCTACTTAGGAGCTGTAGTGATGGACAGAAATCCCTCATGCTAATGTGAAGAACAAAAAAATGGTCCTTGGCCCTCAGCAGCGGTAGTCTAAGCATGAAATGACAGATTCAGGCAGTACAAAATGATCCTCTGGGCTGTGATAACAAATCTCCACAGACTAGCTGCATTTCCGTGAAGCATTTAAGGGGTAGGATGGGGGGAAGCTGGGTAGTTTTCTTTAGCCAAGGTGTTGTCTTATGCTGTTTTAAGGGCTGATGAAACTTTTCCTAGTTCAGCTGTTACACTGCTTAATTATTATCCAGAATGATGCTTGGAGTTTTCTGAGATAAGGGACTGACTTTCCCCCCCCCCCCCCCCCCCCCAGCTCTTCTGTATTTCACCTGCTACCTCTAACCCTCAGTGATTACAGATCTGTAATAGCCATCAACAGCAGTGGTTGCAAGCCACCCGTAGATGTGAACAGCCACTTACATTGTGCCGACACTGTGTTCAAACTGACACCAAGGATAAATCCTGGCCTGTACTCAGGATGTTTCAGGGGGAAAAAGAAGGCCTTGGTTTTCTGCCTTGTAGAAATAAAACAAATAAAAAACATTGTTTCCAAGTTGATTACAATTTATGTTGTGGCTATATGATCAGCTGTTATTACCTGAAGGTAGAAAGAGGACTTCCATCACTTTCTGTTCCACTGCTTTTTCTATCAGGCTTTTGGTATATTTTGCCACTAAATTCTAGGGGGTTTTCTGTTTTTTTTGGTTGGTTGGTTGGTTGGTTGGTTGGTTTTTTTTTTTTTTTGTTTTGTTTTGTTTTTTGTTTTTGTTTTGTTTTGTTCTTTGTTTTTTTGCTTGTTTGTTTTTTGTTTCTGTTTTGCTTTTTTTTTTTTTTTAAAGGGATTAATTTGAAATGTGACTAATCGTATTGTTCTACTAAGCAGTACTTTCCAAATCTTTTCCCCTTTGTCTATGACCCTCCCTCTAACCAACCCATCTTCCATACAGAGAAGTAATCCAGGTGACTTCTTTGGGGCAGATGGGCTGTTTTTAAGTAGAGCCACTTTGGTGCTCTGTAAATACTGTGTGTTCATCAAATTATAATTGATCCATTCATTTTCTGGAAATCAGAATCTGTGTGTCAGCTGAGTTTTGTCTGTTTCAGTGGCTTAATAGATTCATACAAACACTAAACTTGGTACTTGTCTGATGTTTCAAATACTTTATAACAGCTCTTAGCATTCTCCCATCTTGATTAAAATGTAAATGTTAACCATTAATTAAGGACAAACTGTGAGAAATTAAGTACAGTGTATTTGTCACTGTGTTAAATGTCAAATAGTTAAACATAATGTAGTGAAATAAGCAACTCATTGTGAATAATTAGATCAATTAACCTCACTTTGTTCTTGTAGGTTATCAGTAGGCAGAGATTTTCTGGGATGCTCTCATAACATTTTCAGCAGATTACTTTCTGAATCTTAAAAGTTGTGTGGATTAATGGTGGGTAACTTAAAAACCTAACAGGTTTGTTTTTTAGGTGGTTGGTTGGTTAGTTGGTTGGTTTGTTTGTTTGTTTCCTTTGGAGGGCTCAAAATTGGGTAGTATGTACCAGATTGTCACTTAGCTATTTTAATTATCAACATCACACCACTTTTTTGAGGGAGTGGAAACTGTTTCCAGATTCTGCAGAAATTCAGCCTGACTCACCATCTCATTCAGCAGCAATGTGCCACTCATTAGCTGGTTGGCTCTATGGGAGTCAGCAGCTCTTGGCTCCTCCTTCCTCTTCAGGTCAGGGTTCGGTGGAGCCAGGCACGCCACCCCTTTCACTACTTCACAAGTATCATTTGTTTGCATCGAGGCAATGACATATCTGTGGTGGTTCTTGCTGTCTTGTCCAGAGGTGAATCTAACATACTAGGCCTCAGCAGTTTCCTGATCTGCCAGAATACAGGAAAACCCAGGTTGAAATTTCCCTTCTGTGTAAAGCACCAGTTCCTGATTGCTGTTGAGTTTGGAACCGTACCCTTTCCTTCCCTTCCTGTCTCCTTCCCTCTTTTTGCCTTTACGTAGACATGATACTGTATGACCACAGCTCATTTCCTTGGTGGTATGAATGCATGAACTTTATCATAGCATGCATATTCTTACATGCAGATTTACAGTTTGCTCTTCAGGAGCTTCAGTGCCATGTAATTTATGTGCAGAATTTGAATTAAAAATGGTATGACTAGTACAAGACTTGAAAACTCAATTTAATTAAAAAATTCCAAGTGAAGATTTGCTGCAAAAAAGTTATTAACCACAGTGCCTGTACAGCATCTCTCCTGTCCTGTTCAACAGTTTTCTACCATCAGTCATTTTATGGTTTTAACCTCCTTTTTTTTTTATTTTTTTTTTTCCCCAACAGGTTTTATTAAAAATGCACAGTAAGAAGCAGACTCCAGTAAAATACTATGTTGGAATTGATGTTGGGTCAGCAAGCGTTCGCGCGGCTTTGGTAGATGGGCTCGGGACAGTAGTGGCACATGCAGATCAGCCAATCCAAATTTGGGAGCCCCAACCAGACCACTACGAGCAATCCTCTGCAGACATATGGGCTGCTTGTTGCTCAGTCACAAAGGTACGTGAAGAAAATGAAGGAGATATGTGTTGCAAGTAGCTCTTCAAGATACGGAAGTTTAAGGTCTTCCAGTCACTCACTGACCCTTAACATTCAGTTCTGTGCACCCCGTGTTGCTGTGTCACTTGTAACCATCCTTGTGCATTAAAGGCACCTTGAGGATATGGCTGATGTAGCTTCTTGCTGTTACATAGGTGAGGACCTGAGGGCCAGAGTGGAAGAAGCTTGTGCTACAGCTGAAAATAGAATGAAAGGCTTTCCTTTGCGCTGTTAGCTCAGCAGGAGGACTTTACCCACTGCTTTCAGGATTCACATCTGTGGATTTTGTTTGGCTGGTGTATATTCTAGCCACGAGACAGTTCTTTGAGGAGTCAAGGTTGCTCAGAACCTGGTAATGCATATATTTAAAGATGTGCATTGTGCTGCACTGGAGTCACAAAGGAACATTTATTGTAGAGAAATTGTAATCTGGTTTGTGGATGGTGCTTAACATAATGTCTGTCACCTGTGATCCTCATTATAAGAGGATCCAGTATTACAAGACCAAAAAAAATTATATACGTTTGTGGATAGTATCAAGCATAAAACCAGATTGAAATAAACCTTACTATAAGGGGAAAAGTGTGCCCTCTGATTCAAGGATCTGCCTGTACATGCTGGTGGTAAAAGTAAATTAGTGACCTTGCTTGGTAGTGCACAGGTAGGCCATTTCATCTTTCTTAATAAAGCCCCAGCCTGCTCCATGTTCTAAGGTTGGCTTTTTAAATATTCATGATATGCTTGGTAATTTGCAGATGGACAGTTCACCCATTCTCTTGTTATTGATCAGCCTTTTCAAACATTAATGAGCTTGGCTCTGCAAAAATGCCCTGAGATGAAGGAGATGAGGTGAGGGGGAAGGAAGGAAAAGAAGGGAGTGTCAGGGAAGAACAGCTTGATGTTAAAGCAGAGCAAGTCTTTTATTCTTCTTATTTGATTTTTCTCTTTGTGAATTGCTTTGGTTTTGCTCTGGACCTCTTTAAATACAATCTCTTTTACGTAAGCAATAAAATATGCTCTCTGAAACTATAGCTTTACAGAGCCAGTAAGAGACTGGCACTGTGGCAAGTCTAGTGAAAGCCTTTCATTCTAGTGCTAATTAAAATAATGATATTTTTATTGTTGCTGAGAAGTGGCAATTTATTACTGCATTACATTTTAGGTGTCTTGCATCCTCACTTGGAACTTAATCCATGTGGGTGTTGTGAGTTTTTTTCCAGTGCTGTTGGAAGCCATGAAGTTCAGACATTATGGGGTGGTGATTTTTTTTGGAAAATCTTCCAAAGAGTATGCTATCCAAACTCTTGGTAGCAGAGCTTTTGAAAAGGTGTGCATTGCAGAGGTATCATCACTGCTACTGGTTTTGACCAACTTGTTTTTTGGACCCTTGAGTATCGCAAGACAAAAAGCTGTGTACAATACTACCAATGCAATTCTGGAAGACTTTTGCTTCCACAGGTGGGAACTGAGTGAAGTCACAGATGGAAACACTTGGCCCTAATCCTGTGTCCATGTTTGACATGCAGCTCAACTCCAAGCTTTTAGGAAAGAGAGAAAATTAACATTGCTGCTTTTCTGCTACCTTTATTTTTTGATATTTTTGTGCTTCCTGCTTTTATCCAGGACTGTGGCTAGTAAGGTTAAAAAGCTATTGAAGAGCCTTTCATGGACCTTTGAAATCAGTTTTGAAAACCAAAGAATTTTTGGTAATTTGGTGTATTTTTTATTAAAGGTGTTAGAGAATACTGCATCTCAAAAATTTCCGCGTTTGAGCTTGCATTTCTAAAGTATAATTTATTTTCTGTACTGATTAGTTCACATGGTACCTGCATATATATGGATATATTTGTATTCATGTGTGTTTTGTATATTTGCAGAAAGTTGTCTGTGGAGTAGATGCTAGCCAGATTCGAGGGGTTGGTTTTGATGCTACGTGTTCCCTTGTTGTTGTGGATAAACAGTTCCAACCTTTGGCAGTCAACTGTGAAGGTAGGACTCCAGCATGAAAATTGGTGTTACTGTGCATGTTTTACCACTGATGTGAGCAAACTTAGAATTTCAGCCAAATGCCAGGTTACAGGGCTGACTCTTGGAGATACAGATGATAAAAAATCCTTTTACAATAAGATTTTTTTTTCTGTTTTTACTATTTTAATTCTACTGCAAAAATAAATTTGAGATGAGACTTACTATTTGGCTAAATGTTCGGCATCCTAATATCAAATTCATTCACCTTGACTCAGAGAGACTGCTTCTTAGAGAAATCTATGCTGATTTTCTTTTCTGTATGTTTTCTCCTCCTTCAGACTTTACTAATCATGGCTTTTACAGTGTGTATAAATGCCCATCCGTACTGGCTAAAGGAATGCTAAAAATGTTAGTGTTAGTAAAGTCTAACTGCTTACTCTGTCATGGAGCTGCAGGGAAGAGGTTCAGCTTGTGAATTTTATTACACTGGTGTTCTCTCTTTGTCTAGGACAGTACTAGACTTCTGAAACAGTCTGTGACTTCTTCTAAAAATTTTATTTTTTTTTATTAGTTTTTGAGTAGATGATTCAGAAGACTCAAGAAAAGTCTGATGTACTTTTTTTGCATTGAATCCCATTTAAGATCAGGTGTGTGCTAAATCAGTAGTTACAGAGCCATAATCACAATTCTGTGTATGTTCCCTTTCTATTCTCAGATGTATTTGTCATCTCCTCTTATCCTTCTCAAAAAACCAGCTTTGCCCCCAAAATGTCCTTTGCTAAATTTAGATGAGATTATTTATTTTTCAGTTCGAGAGTCTCTTACAATGTGTTCAATGCCTAATGATGTCTGGGGCTATTTTGGTCTATTGAGTCAAATTCAGTTTTTATTCTCTGATATCCCCAAGAACTTTGAGTTTACCCAGTGTTGTTAAATAAAAAGACAAGAATGCACTGAATACTGTCACACTGGTATGGGTATGCAATGATGTGGCTTCAGGCAGTCTCACAGTTCTAAATTGTATTTTATTCCATGTTAGAAATATTGGTGTGCCTCATATTTCTGCCTTCCCTTGGCGTATATTTTCAAGAGTGAGCATGACTGTCTGTGTCATGAAGTTGAGTGTGCAGTGTATTTAGCAAGAGAGGAATATGAAGTGTCATGCAGATTACTCTTCCAACTGTCCAGCAGGTTCTCCGTAGGTTAATTTTGATAAAACGTCCTTTGCTTCTTGTTCCCATCTTAGAGAGTGCTTTTTCCTTCTACATCTAAAATAAAAGCATTTCAGCAAACTACCCCCCTGCAACAGTATTTCTGAAAGTGGTAAATAGGGTGGCTCTTCTCATAACAATAGAGGAAGAAAGAGAATCCCTGTAACTACCTAGCTAGCTGACTAGCTGAAATAATTTCAGTTTATATGTGATTGCTCAGATTTTGTCACATTTTTAGTTCTTAGTCACCAAAATGCTTTTTTATATTTTTAGCTAAATATGTGTACTTTTTCAAGAAGCTGGGGTTTCAAAGTTCTTGTGTGCTCACAAGCCTGATTGGTTTCAGTCAGTATTCTCAGTGCTCAGCATATCTTAAAGGCTCAGGGGGTTAGAATTTATCTTTAGATATCTACTGTGGATTATTAACACAAATAGAATTTGAGTTTTCTATGTAGAAGTGAAAGTGTGAAGCAGCTTAGGGTCTAGTAACTTACAGTACTAAGATGGGGTTAAACCAGACCTAAAGTAATATATTTTTTTTTCTTTTAATTCTTTTTCCCAAGGACAAAACTATAGGAATGTTATTATGTGGATGGACCATCGTGCAGTCAGTCAAGTTGAGCGTATCAATGCAACGCAACACAGGGTTTTGAGCTATGTAGGGGGCGTGATGTCTGTGGAAATGCAGCCACCTAAATTGCTGTGGATAAAGGAAGTGAGTACATCTAAAACTGTGATGAGTTGTTACTAATTATTAGTGCCCTTTATTAATTTCCGAGAATAAAATTTCTAAAACAGAAGTTTTCAGCCTTAGTGTTGAACCCAAAAGCATTCAAAGTAAGGCCAGCCTTAAGTTGTGACAACAATGTTTTGACGTTCTTTTTTCCTCTCAAATATTTAGAAATATCTTTGATTTTATTGAAATTTGGTGTTTTCTGATTGAAACATTTCATATGCCTTTCTTACCTAATTTTAAGATTAGTTATACATATAAGTTTAGTTGCAGGTAATGAATGAGTACTTGAAGTACCCTGGGATTTAGTTATGGAGGCGTATTTCCTGCTCCAACTATGGTAGCTGGACATGCTCACAAGGGTGTAGGTGCTACTGCTGGGATGGATCTACAGAAATTTGAAAACATCACCATCTTAACATGGGGTATCCTGGCCAGAGGTCCTGCCTTTGAGGCACCACATCCCACAGTGCGGGGATGTGTGATGTCACTGGCTGCTGGTAGAGAAACTGTTCAGTTAGAGCTTCAGTTTAGTTCTGTCCCATCTGTAGGAAGTAGACCACCTGTAGAGGGAGGGTGCTCTGTTCATAATGTGGAACTCTACCGCTGTCTCTTGTGTTTAAATTTTGTGTTACAGAATGACATATGGCCTTTTAATAATAACTGTCAGATAAAAGGAGAAATGCTTGACACTTGAATTTTTTATACCTCCTCCAATCTGGGTTTTACATTTGGTCTCAGTGATGCTTGGTGTCATTTTAACAAAGCCCAAATGTAAATTACTTGCTGCCAGTTTCAAGCAGCCAAAGTCTTCTGTCCTTACAAACACAAAATGTCATATAATAACAAGGTGCAGATTGGGGAAAGTCAAAGGAAGTAACTGGTCAAAGCAGGTACTGACAGATTAATGATAATAGAGGATAATTAATGTTGTTTGTAGATGCTACACTGAAATATGAATATCCATCTACTAGTTCTTTCCTTCCTGAGCTGTGAGTATCATATGTCAGTCATTATATACATAATAAAATGTAAGCTGTAAAAACCTTAGGAGAATTCATTGTGTTTAAAATATTTTTATATTGCAGGGTCTGGAATTTCAGTACCTGGCTGGGAGGAAAGGCCAGATAATGGGGTCTTCAAGTGTGGTCACCCAGAGGAATAAGTCTATGTTGTGGCCTCAAAGCCCTCTAATATAATTCTTGTAGTATAAAGAGGAGAGAGAGTTTTGCAGGTCTTGTTACCTCCATGAGAAAGTTGGTAGGAAGTAGAATTGACCTACCCTACATGCCAGCCAGTAGCAGAAATTGCCTGGCAGAAGGGCATTACAGAACAGGGCTTGTTCATATGTCCCCTTTTAGCTCCTAACCTACCAGCTAAAGAGATTATTATCCTTATGAGAGGGTTTTTTTTACCTCAGTATCTACTTGCTGAGCGGCTCAGGTGACAGTTCCTTCATCCTGAGTGGACTAGCAAAGACATACTGTTAAACTGCTTAAGCTTACCTTGCTTAATTCGGGCACCTTAAGCAACATCTACAGTAGCACCTCAGCTAGCTCATGAGAAGGAACAGTAGCGTTTATTATGGAGTCGGTTGTAATCAGTTGAGATGTGGGCATGTAGTGTTAAACTTTTTAGCTTTGGAGAGGTATGTGATCAAGTCTACTTACTGCTTTTCTACTTGTTGCCAAGAGGAGGGTGAAAGGAATTGTATGAAGAGTGGCGGTTTATTTTCAGTGCCAATCACAGTAACACACCTGTGTATTACATGACTTCTAGGGCTATCAGCAAAGGTTCATGTTAGCCTCTGACAGCTAAAGATCAGCCTCATGTAATGCAAATGTTCTCACTTTTTGCCAAGGAAGTAAAATTTCACAATAACTTTGAATGTCAGGTTCTCAAAATCAGAGCTAAAACACCAGTTTGCACATATGTTGTTATTCAGTGGAGTGTCTTCAAGTGGTCTACAAATAATAAATTACTTAAGCCTCTTCTGATTCTTTTGTTATTAATATTTTATAGATGAAGAAACTATGACACAGGTATTAAAGGCATGGTCAGGAAAACTACTTATAAAATGCTACTTAGTGTTTCCTTCGTGTTTTTTTAAGTTGTATCGTCTTTCTTTTCTGTGCTTAGTGTATTTCCCTCCTGCTAATACTGCACAGTTCCCAGAGGCATGGCAGAGTGAGATTTTGATCTAGCTCATACATCACAAAGAAAAAATATTCTATTCTGATTGCAGGATTATTTTTTAAGCTAGTGATAATGCACAAGCTGGCAAAAAGGAAGTTTGGTTTTCACATCCCTTGGGAGAGTCACAAGATTAGCAGGCAGAAAGAAAGATTTTATCCTTTTGAACTGAGAATATCTGAAAGCTTTGGAAAGTTGAAATCGGAAATCCCATTGTTCTTCTATTTAATTGTGATGGCTGGTACTCAGAAAGATGACTGTACTGTACCTGGTTTGTGCAGGCCACACGTTGCATCAGTTGGCTAGATGGAAACTTCATGGGCATAAAATTAGACTCTTTTTAAAAACATGGCCCTTGGTGTTGCTGAGGAGAGGGCCAAAATGGGATTGTTATGAGCACGGAATGTTAGGGCTGGGATGTGTTGGCAGAACTGCCTGGGGAGTTTTACATAGTGTCTGCCCACACTCTGTGCCTGGCTGTGATCATGGCCTTCAATCTCTCCAGCCTTCCTGACTACTAAATGTCACCAAATATGCTACCAGCAAGATTTCTTTGAAGTACAGTAGATGTGAGGGGTTTATTTATCTATCTTAAATCCTCACCTCTGCTTATGCTTTCAGTATCATATGTGAAATAACCTTTCATACAAAGCTACTGCTTGCTCCAGTGAGCCATGCAGCTTGAGGAGCTGCTTTGAAATAAGATCGCTCTCAAAGCATCTCAAAAGTCTGTTGCTATACTGTAAAATGCTCTCCCAGAATTTTCTGCCAACCTCTGCAAATATGTACAGTTGGTTCAGGTTTTTTCTGAAAATACTCCCAGTATTTCTAGAAGTATTTCCAGCCATCCAACTGCAAGTGGTGCAGCCTGCTGCTTGATGCAAGAACTGTATTGGGTCAGACCAGAAATCTGTTTGACTCATTATTTGTCTGATTAGTAGTGAGTTTTTTGCTTTATGAATTTAGATAATCTTTTCTGAACCCACATGTAATTTTTGCACCCACTGTGTCCTGTGGTAATGAGTTTCATCGTTTAACTGTACTTTGTGTGAACAGGTATCTTTTTTTCCAAAACAAGTTCCTAAAATTTCATTTGCCTTTTAGTTCTTGAAATGTATGAGACAGTGAACTATATCATTCCCCAGTCAACATCTCCATGCCATGGACCACAGGGATGCTTTTTCATTGTCCTTCCTTAATCCTTTTTTAATATTCCTCCCTAATGTTGTCATATATCTGACAGTATCACAGGAACTTAAGGCAAACAGTGGGTAGGGCACATTCTTCCATGACTGGCCATAATCAAAACTGGCTAAACTAAGGTGTATGCAGAAGCTACTGTGGGCGTTTGTCCCTTTGGTAGACATCATGTTTCTGGAAAGATTTTGATCAGAAAGCTTGACATGGCTACAACACATGGATAAACAAAACAAAAAAAAAAACATTTATAAACAAAACAAAAACCACAGCCATACACTTTGTACAGTCATGCTCCAGGTCAGCGAGTACACCCTAATATACGAAGATTCACTGCTGACTTTTGTGTTGAATTCCGTGGAACTTTTTTTGAACTCCCCAGGAATTTAATGTTTCTGCTATTAAATGTCGTTGGTATTTTCCCCTGTACATTTTTGCCTGGGATTGGTGCTGTGCACATTCCATATCTGCTTGCAATGATCTAGGTTTTGCAGAGAGGGTGCAGTGGGGAAAATAACTGCTTTTTATAGGAAGTTATTAGAAAATAACCTGGTACTAATAATTAAGAACAATTTATAAATCCATTGAAGTAAACCAGAAGAGTTAAGTTTTGTGTCATTGGGAAAATGTTTGATGCTTTTCTTTTAATCAATCCTCATCTATTTGTAACAATAAACAGCATGTAATGAGAAGAACCTTCAAATTAGTCCTAATGAAATATGTTCCTTTCGGTGGATCCACAGTTCTTTGGAACTCTTAACATTTTTTACTTGAGCTTCAAAGTTTATTTAGGGTGGCATAAATATAAATGTTTCTTTTTGACTTTATTGCCTAACCAATAAATATTCAAGGTTTCCCTTGACTTTTCCATGTTCCATATTCTGTGGATTCAGTCATATGAAACCACAGTCTTGCTAATACAAAGTAAGTTGCACAAATGTGACTGTAAGCTAAATTAGTTTGTTAAGGGTCATTTAGGAGACTAACTAGCACTTTTGGAAGTTATTTAAGATATTGATACTAAATGACCCTCTGGATTGCTGTTATACCTGTAGGTTAATGGTGTGTACATTGTCATCAAAGCTTCCCTCTCCCTTTCCACAATGCTAAGGAAGGCCAAATTAGGAGATCCTGTCTTCTCGGTTTTTGCCTTGGGCTCTATTGACTGTAGTATCTGAAAATCTGACCTCTGTGAGGAAGGGTCTTGCGTAGGTCAGTTCTGCGATATTACTAAGTTTTGAGTGGTTAGGCTGTCTCTCAAAGAAAGGAATTGAATTTCTGTTGAAGAATTTTCATCCAAGCAATTGAAAGTATTACTGAAGCATATGACTTTGCAAATTTACTCTGAATTATCTGGAAGTAATGAGGAGGGAGGAGAAGGGGGAGAGGGCTAAGGTGACCTCACTGTGCTTTTCCATTTCCATCATCATATTACTAGAATTAAAGTTGAAGATGACCTCACTTGGTGTGAGGAATGAGCTGACATCATTGTAAGAGTAGCTACTGGTCCTTATCTTTTGTGGCTTTCTTGTTACACTTGACTTATATTTTTTTCCAGAATGATGTTGCAGTTTTTCTTCAAAGTCACAGGT